TTTTTTTTTTTTTTTTTTAATTTACACTTGTTTAATCATATACATTTTATTGCTTTGAATATTAAGTAAATGATCAAATTTCAGTTCATAGCAATGTTGCTGCATCGATTTGGCACAATGGCACATATCATTGCATCAACAGAGCTGTTTTGTTGGCGCAAACGCGTGGATCACTTAACTGAAGATGAATTAGTAGTTCAAAATGCAGTTGAGATCGCACGTGAGCTACAAGCAATTCGTGGAGTTGATGAATCTGATGAGACATCTTTACCAGTACGCTTTATTTTAAAAGCATAAAAAATTTGGAAAAAACTACAAAAAACTGTTTTATGTTCAACAATAAAATATTGAATTATTCAGTATAAACTTCCAATGTTTGCACTGGTATTGCTGTTTCTGTCAGTGACAAAAATTCCAATTACAGATAGTTTCAGGAGGAACAAGCAATTTCACGACGTAATATTGTACGTAATTTAGAATCTTCCAAACGGTCTATGTATCGGCCGAGAACGGAAACGCTTGATGCTGCTTTTCGAAAACGGTTCTTTGCTCTTTCAAGTATTAAGGCGATAGACCGATCTAATAGTGAGAAACGCCTAACACTACGAAGGAATACTATTCGCGCTATTGAGCGGCGACGTAATTCAATTTTTGGCAATCAACAACCAAATGAGGTATAACTAATTCTTGAAAGAGCAAACGTACTGCTGTAAAAACTTACCAATGTTAAGATGCTCACAGCACTGATTGAAGAGTTTCCCTTCTTTTTTGCTGATTTAAGCTTATAAAAGGCATTTAAGGATGAGGCTGCATCATCAGTAACAGAAGGGAAGCGTCAACTGACTGCAACATCTAGTCGAGCAACGATTCGCAGCAACCTGCAGCAGTTATTCAACGATCCTGCAAATAATTTCGACAACGACCAGACTAGAAATGGAAATTCCTCATAATTCACTTAGCAGTTTGCTTCCCATACTCTCAGATTCTCTTATCCTAAAGTTTTACTTGTTTGTGTTGCATAATCTTTTGAAGTTTATAATCTTTCCGTTTGAAACGATATGAGTACCTTCTAATAGAACAATACGGACATAAGCAAATATATGATAAAACTCCTCCCATTTTCTGCTCTTTTGAAATTTGCAACGAGTTACGATTTATCTACAACGAATCACTGAAAAAAGATAATAAATACAGCAAACTTATATGATTTGATTTCAATCACATAAACTTGGTAAATGTGCGTGCACTGTTCAGTTCTGTAAGAGAAATAAGTTGAAATTGTTGCTTTGTAAAAGGAATCAATGAAAATAAGAAAAAATACAGCATAATAGAATTTTTTTTGATACTATAATTGTCCTTCACAGGATTAATTTTTATCACTGATTACACTACCCAGAATAATTGGCTACAAAAAAATGTCAGCAAAGCAAGAAATAACAATCGTCAAAATTTGAATGTTGGCGCAATTATAAATTCATAATTAAAGTCAGCAGACTCATAAGTACTTATAAAGATAGTCAAGAATAAGGGATTAGACTCAGTCATTATTGACTTAGCGCTTTTGTTTCTCGAATGCAATAATAAAATGTGGCATTTAGAGAAGCTATCGGTAATAATAATCAACGAATTTCATGAAACTCGTTGATTGTTTTCATTTATGGATAAGTTGGAAGTTCTTACTACTGATGTAGCCTGTTGATATCTTCAAATCCATGATTTAGAGTCAATAATGTTTGTGTCAAATTAATTTCAATTGTATATCAGAAAAAAAAAATTAATACTCACCTGTAATTCAAAATTGCATTCAATTTGATAGATTTTAAGAATTATCACTTTTATAGAAAAAAGGCAATTGTAGTAAACATTTTTGAACTGATTTGTAATGAATCGAAATCATAATTTTTTCAGATGGTTGAGTGATGAATAGTGCAGATGAATTACTTGTAAATTATCACAGTAAAAGTTAATAATGCTAAATAACTTAACTATTCATTACTTTAACACTTTAAGATTAAAAACGTGTTTTAGTTCTAAATTTTGCAATTTACTTTCAACGATTGGCTTCTGTCAACTACTTCATCACTTCAATTTTCAAACAGACATTCTTAGTTAAGATTATTACAAGCAAAAACATACTTTATTTATTTCGGTTATTTGAGTCATTTAATTCGCTCTAATGCTTGCCATGCAAAATTTGCAAATTCTGAGATGTAAAATTTTCATATCTGATTTTTTTTACGTTAGATAAGTTGAACGAAAACAAGAAAATGCTTTTACTATGTTTTTTTAATAAGTAGAGTAAGTCAGCAGCTCTCTCGGTTTCGTTTTCTAAATAAACTATTAGGAGAATGCTTAAATTTTATTTTTCAGTTTGTAAAATTTTTTTTGACAATCTTTTTCTTTCCTTGTTGTTTTTTGTACCATTTTCTTGCTATTTTTTGTCGTTTCTTTTTTGTAAATAAAAATTTGTAAATCTCTTTTTTTTTAAAAAAAGTCTATGCTTTCTGCCAAATATTTTATTCGGCAATAGCATTGCAGAAATTCAAGAAGACTAAATGCATGATGCAGAAAGAAGGATCATCGCATTCAGGTGAGGATGATAATGATGCAAGTCTAACTGATGATATGACTATTACTGATGATATTTTAAGTAATTCCATTACTGTTAAAGTTTTTAAATTATTTTTTTTCTATTCAGAGGAAGAGTTTAATGTAATGAATGAGAATTTAATCTATTTTTTGCAACAAACGTCTCTGTGATTTTTAAACATTTAATAATTTCATCATTTCTTCATTTGATTAGTGATGTAATTAAGAAACAAAAATTTGAAACCATAAAATTGAAAATGGTACTGTTTATTATTTGAAGTGATCTTACTTGCATATTTCGCATTACAAAAGCTACTAAAGAAAGCTACTGTATTTTAAATGACTTTTTTCTAATATCATAAGCAAAAATGGAAACTTTCAGAAACATATCAGCCCGAATACTTAAAAACTTGCATTTGCGTTTTAGCCCTATTCATATCGTTAATGCTAAATCAGTTGGCTCTTTGCATTGCTCATGATGTTGTCAGTAGGTCTAATTTTCTCTTTTTCTAATAAAGTCATTTCCATGAACTGAAAAACAGAAGAGATGACCTGAATAAAGTATCAGATAAATTTTTAATCCATCATAAACATTGTTCTATGAGCTGTTCTATGAGCTAGTATAAAGGTAACGTACAATATGCAAATCGCGGTACCGATCCGAAATTGATTTTAATTGTCAAATTTTCAGAAAATTATGCATTCAAATGAGCATAATCATTCTGTAATACAAATACTTAGCAGCAAAAATTTTTTATTTAAATCAGTTTTGATATTGTGCTCACTTAATGATAAGATAACTATTACGATATTTGGACATTTAAATTTTTATTTGAAGGAGCGATATTAATTTAAAAATTTTTAAATTTATTTTTTGGTAACTTTAGGGACGCAGTACCTGACTTGGTATTTGCAATCATACCTGAACAAGACTGGGCAATGGTACTGGGAGATGTGCTTTGCAGTGTTGCTGGCATTGTAGCCCTTGGGTTTATCACCGTATTTCATCGTTATCGGTTTATTGTGCTACGTCGATTATTGTTCACAATCACAGTTTTATATACATTTAGAGCTGTTTGCTTGGCAGTCACTCGCATACCTGCAAGCTATGACAATAATTATCGGTAGGTTTGAATTTCAGTCATTTTGACTAGTTGGCTGTTTCCCCTTATGAAGTCATTTATTTAAAAAAGCGGGACAATTTCATTAAATTTGATTTTTAATAACTTCATCCGAAACATATAACAGAAGCATATAATGATTAAGTTTTATATTATTTACGGTTTTTTTTTGATTTTTGTAGCAAATGCAAAGAACCAAATCATGAAGCGACACCCTCAACTGTCCTACAGCGATTTTTCAAACATGCATTTAAGGTTAGAAGCCTTTTTGAGCTAATAAATGCAAGTACATCAACTAACTGAAAGAGCTAACCAAGTGTTTCGCAATTCTTGAAATTGAGCAGAAACTTATTCCTTAAAAAACGTAATTTTTGTCGTATGAGAAAAGTTGTTACAAAAAAAGTGATTGCAAAAACTCAAATAACCGCAATATAAAATGTCACAGAAGAAATAAATCTTGAAAATTATAAGTAATTACCATAAAAAAGTGAACTTGCATGCATATGAAAACTCCATAATCAGAAAAGTATTTTTGATCATGCATTGAGGAAGAAATTCAAAATTCATCAACATGTCGACAACAAAAATCAATGTATCGTTGAGAACTTTCATTGAAGGAAAATTTTCTGATATTCATTCCTGGCCAAGCAAAAAAGACTGAATAAAAAGAGCAAATTTATGATATAAAGAATTCGACTCAAAGTTGAGATTCATTACTCCAATAAACTTTGAAAATAATTTATAGAGTTTAAATTTAAATTAACGTATTAAGAACAAAAAAAAATTCATTTAGTTTGGGTTACAAATCAGCGACAATGGTAAACTAATCTGTGGTGACCTTCTTTTCTCGGGTCACACCATCTTTGTCTCCACAACAACTTTTTATCTTAATCATTACTCACCGCATTCAATTTGGCCTTTAAGGTTATCTGTTTTCACCAACAAGTCTTAAAAAAAACAAACTAAAACTTCAAAATTTTATTGCCACATTTGCAGAGCTCGTTAAAATAAATGTCATACAAAAACAAATTTTTATCACAAAAAATGCAATTTTCAATTTCACAACATCTCATTTTAAAATGAACTTCATATATTTCATTTTTAGGTGGTGTTTAATAATAACATGCACCGGTGGTATGATATGCTTATCTATATCACGGACCCATTACAGTGTTGATGTACTAATTGCGTACTGGCTCTCTAGTTTCCTTTTCAGGTTAACCGATTTCTGTATATCTGTTGACACTGAATGACTATTTTAATTATTTTGCTTCAATCAAGCACATATTTCGTAGTTTTTTATGATTAGGAAAGAAAATGCAGTAATTTATCCTACAATTTAAAATAAGAGAGCTTCGTAAGATCATATCTTATGTTTTGAGTTAAGGTTACATTATCATGCAGTTAATTTGTTAGTTAGTCAATTATTTGCGCATATTTAGTTACTGATATAGCTGAAAATTATTTTTACTCATAGTTAGTAGCACTGCACTAGTTCAACGTCACCAGCTGATCTTAACTTGAATAAGTTTGTTATGAATGCTTTCCAAGTTTGCTATCAAAAATATGTAAACTCAATATATAAGATCAAATAAGCTTACAAATAAAAATAATTAAATTTATATGGAACTTTAAATAAATTTATCATAAATACTGTCGTTACGAGATTTTAAAATATTAGATAACTTCTCATAAGAATCGAATATATTTTTGTGATGCATTTTTTACATGACCACTTACTGAAATGTGATCTCATTTGCAGTATTTATCATTCATTCGTTCTCCTTCCACACCGTATTCGTGTTCATACACGAGCTTACCGTCGTTTGTTACTGTTTTGGACAATGTATGAATTGGAAGCAAATGTACCATCTGGAAGGGTTCCTAACGAAATTGAATGGCCTTTACCTTGGCCAAAATGCCTGAAAAAATGGGTGGAAAACTGGAATCGACTTGATGCCCATACAGTCGCAGGCCTTGTAGCGGAACAGTTAGACGCTCACCGACTTAAAACACATTTATAGCAAAACTATCAAACGAACACAGAGTGCCTATACAAAAACGAAGAATTAAATCAAAAAAGAAATGAAAAAATGATTCCAATGTTATTACTCAAATGCATATCATTACAGAAGCAAACAAATGAATCAAATATGCAAGCAAATGATGATATTTATATCGTATAATTCCAATATGTCATGGAATTATAAAGAATTCCCTTCCTGAAAATGTACAAAAATGATAGCATTGCCTTTATTTTACTCCAACAGATAACAAAATTGTATAAATGATTTGAATGTTTACGGAAAACCAACAGATTACTTTAATCAATGATATCAGACAAAAAAATTGGGAGCTGAATTTAGGAAGTCCAAAAAAAATTACAACAATAGTAATAGCAATAATAATAATAATAAATAAATAAATAATTGATTAATTAAAATGATAAGAAAAATAATAATAAGTATTAATAATCTTTTGCTAATAATAGGCATTTGCATGAATATGCGAAACTTCTGTGATATCAGTCTAAGCTGAAGGCATTGTTAATGTCAACTGCCATCATTTTGGCATGCTTCGATGATAAATATTCCGTCCTTTCCTAACATTGTGTGATCGATGCCAACATTTATCTCATTCCGAGCTAATTTTTTTGATTGTATGCATGGGATTGTAGACAAATTTAAAATGTTCAGCAAAACAAACAAAATTTTGTGAAAATTTGTTGTTAAATAGCTTATTTATTGATGGCAGCGTTATTACACAAAATCAGTTCCAAGTTATTGACTTTTAGTGTTCTTTATGATGGATTTCCAGAAGTGCTTTAAGATCCAAATCCATTATTTTTGGCTTCCTCGAAGCAAGGAATTCTTTCGAAGTTTGCAATTCAATCTGAAACATTTGTTCATTTATTTCCAAAAGACCTCTGATAGTAATACTGTGCACGTCAATTAATTTTAAATTATCTCAATAGCGAAAAAACCAGGGAAATGAAACAAATACCTTAAACTTATAATGACGGACTCCATCAGCATCCGGTTCTACTTCCGGAAGTTTAATCTCATGGAAGGATTCTAAAGAAATAAAAATCCTCCGAATTCATCAAGAAAAAAATTTGTTAGAACTCCTAAACAAGAACGTGTCTGCTAATTTTTCTAGTCTCAATAACTGAAAATAACTAAACATACTTATACTACTATCCGATGACTTGCGCGAATAATTAACATGAGAACGACCAGCAGCTGCACGATAATTACTTACTCCATAATCATGCGACACATTTTCGAGTTTTCCTTTTAGCATGCCACTAAAAATCGGTCTATAAAAGTGCTTAATGTCAAACTTCTGATTTTGTTCTTAAGTTTTTCTTAATTTAAGTCACAGGAAACAAAAACTGAAGTAACCGAAGATCATCGATTTGAGGATTTTCCTGAGAAATCTGTTTTTCAACTTCACTTATAAGATTCTTATCACAGTAAGTACGAAGTTTATCGAACATATGGATCGTAGTCTGAAATTTTGTATTAAATTAAAATATTGAATTTAAGTGCAGTTTTTGATATTCAATTCCTGTGGATAGTTTTTGAAAGAAATTTTCTTATGAATTTTATCAGTAATGGAGCTTAAAATTACCATGCAACGCCCATTATCATAACTGCACCAGTTCATCACTCCTTGTGTTACCCATTTTGCAATATTTGGATATCCTGATTTGTCCATAGTTCGGGAGCACTGGAAAGAACTATAAAAAGCGAAAAACATAACTTTCAAAATACTTCGTACTCTTAAAAATTTATTGAACCGCTTGTGGCTATACTACTATTCATAGTTCAATTCCGACAATAATAAACGTTATTTGTAAAAATCGAAACACAAAGCTGTCAATTTCACTTTAAAATCACTTTTTTTAGCTAAATTTTTGCAATTTAAAATATAAGGTGCAAACCTCGAGAAGATAAAGTGAAATTAAGCGTCTGTAAGCAATAGCGCTCATTGCTGAATATGTACGTCTTTTGATTACTTCATTGAAAACCAATAATGCGTGCTGGATATTATAATAATAATAATAATAATAGTAATAATAATAATAATAATAATAACATAAATGAAAATAATAATAATAATAATAATAATAATAATAATAATAATAATAATAATTAATTAATTAATAAAAATAATAAGTAATAAAAACAAAAAGATTGGTGAAAGAACTCAGCAAATTCACCCTTACAACCCAGTTGCCTTTGTCTTCTCGCATGTTCTGGCAAGCAAATTCAATTGCAAAGGGAGCAGTTTTCGGTTTTGCTGCTAATCTACAGAGTTCTTCATTAATCGCACAACGCATGCTTTTTATTTCTAATGCGTATGCAGCAGCTAATGCACTTACAATCTGAATTATTGAAAAAGGAAATTATTCAAATTCATGTCATATCATATGACTCAAGACAAAGTTGGGTGAAACAGTCACGAGCTACAAATCAAATCATTTGTATACTGTAAATAAACATTATTCTTTATTTGCTGCATTATTTTCCATTATTTCTCAACTTTCACCCTCGGAATTTTAATTATTGTGAACTTCTTGCCTATTTAAATAAATCCTAAACAGTAATTGAAGCAATGAAGGAGCATTGATGAGAAGCAATTTGCAATAAGTACTCCGTATAACCAATAAAATTATAAGGTACTTTGCAGCAGTTATTATCAAGTTCTTCTAAATTTATAGTAAATTAGAACGCACGAAATTAAAAATTTACTGACTTGATTGAAAGGTATTTTAACACAGCCTTGTGCGTATGCAATGGCAATTTTCAGACCGATCGTATCAAAACAAGGTTGTTCTTCTTTCAAGTGATTTAAGTCAATCACTGTTCTGTAACCTAAAGTATTTGTTGTATTTAATTAAGCAGAAAAAATCAGTCAAAAAAGATTCTAGAATATGACTTAATGACGTAAGCATGCAAACTGTTTTTAGTCTCAAGTAAAAATCCTTAGTAAAGACAGCTAATAATAATGAACACTGAACTGACACTCACATGATTTTTTAGCTTTTTAGTAGTCCAGCAATAAATTTAAAGAGATTAGAATGCAATCCTGCATGTAAAAAAAATCGCACACCTTTCATGAATATCCTTCTGAGATAAGTTGATGTCAAAATCATTTGACGTCCGTCAACTGGAAATTCAATACCATCCAATATCAGTACTCGCTCTAATCTTTCAGGTATATTCAAAGCCTAGGAAATATACACTTTGCAAACCTTGTGAATCAAAAAAGTGATAGACTCAAAAAGTGATAACACTGATTCATCAAATTTCGTAAATCTAATCTGACTTCTGCTTCAGACGAAAGAGTGCCAAACCAAAGTTTTGCCGAGCATGTTCTTCAACAATGAAAAACATTCTCGATAAAACTTTATATATTAGTCCCATCTCAAAAGTAAAACTTTAAGTAAACTTAAGATATTCGTGCTTGAGAAGTGAAGCAATTTCCAATTGGTAACCAATTTTCCCAAAATAATACATGTGGGTTGTATATGATGATACGTTTGCCGACGCGATGCCTGCCTTCTTTCAGGGGTACCAGCGGGAGCATCGTATAGTGAAAAATTTCTTAACGTTAGCAATGAACTGACTGCTTGATTTGTACTAATTTATACTTTTGACGAGCAAAATTCATAATTCTGTAAACTTGCAAATTTTACTATCGATCAGCAAAAGAGACCAGAAATTTGCATAGCGCTTCATGACTCATTTTTTGTTTGCATGCCAAGCTGCTTAGTCATATTTCAGTTCACATAAATAGATGTACTGTATTCAAGTAGTCTGAGGTAGTCTGAATTCTCCTAACATGTTTATGGCGCTGTAGTAGTAATTTTTATAGATAAGAATTTCAGCAACTTTCAGTAGTGCAAATATGTCTTACGTTAGTTACAATTGACTTAAAGTTATTGTTTCGAGGAATGGCAACGCTTGCTTTCCAAAACCAATCAAAATAATTTACTGCAAGTAAGCAAGGAAGAATCCAGATCAATTCAGTTTTGTGAGTTGTGAAATATTTCATTATTGCGGCAATATTCACATTTCGGTTTAGATCTGTTTTACTGTCGTGATAATTTCATGATCTTGATGTGTTCTTTTGTTTGTAGTGTAAACTGACACAAATAAGATGGACTTCTTATTTGGTCGGAAAAAGACACCAACAGAAATGTTGCGGCAAAATCAGCGCGCCTTGAATAAAGCTATGCGTGAATTAGATCGAGAACGATCACGTCTGGAAATGCAAGAGAAAAAGATAATCGCTGATATTAAAAAGATGGCTAAAATGAATCAAATGGTATGAATTTACACATTCGAAATTGGGTCGGTTACCTGGCATTTATCTAATTTTTTCGTGAGCAGTTCTTTATTTTCTAAATAATTCTAAGCGATATACAAAATTATGCGGTACTGAATCCTTAAATTTCGCATGTCATGCAACATTTTTTTCTTATATCATTGTAGTAGTTTTGTATATAAGAAAATATCGTCGAATAATATTTAACTGACAAAATGGGGGTTTTCGATTGCACATAAAATATGGGACCTATTAATTGATTGCATATAATAAATTAGTATAAATTTGCAAATAAATCATATAAGTGTATTTTAGTACTTTGCGGAGCATTTACTAAAAGCAATTCATTTTTTATGAAATTTCCATTATGTCATTTTCAATCAATTTGCTCTCTGTTTCTAAAGGATTCTGTGAGAGTAATGGCAAAAGATCTTGTTCGAACTCGTCGATATGTCAAAAAGTTTATAATGATGAGAGCTAACATACAAGCTGTTTCGCTAAAGGTAGTTCATCATATACATAAATCTGATTGTTTGCTTATTGTCATTTATTAAACATAATTACTCACGTTTGTTCTCGGCTGATGCTGTATGTAGTATATTCCTAGGAATGAAACGGTAAACAAATGTTGAATGGTTAAATCGATTTTAGTATTTTAAGATCGCAAATTGTGTAATCAATTTCTAAAAAAATTAGCTAGACTTTAATTTTTCTGAAACTTATGGTGATTTGACTTCATTCTTGGTTTCTGGAGTTCATATATTTTAATATATTTTTGTTGTAGTCAGTATTCAGTTCAAAATTTGAAAATTTGCAGGTGCAGACTTTAAAAAGTCAAGATGCCATGGCACAAGCAATGAAAGGTGTAACGCGAGCTATGCAGAGCATGAGTCGACAATTGAATTTACCTCAAATCCAGAAAATTATGATGGAATTTGAAAGGCAATCCGAAATCATGGACATGAAAGAAGAAATGATGGGAGAAGCGGTGGATGATGCCATTGCAGATGAAGACGATGAAGAAGAAACAGAAGCAATCGTTGCTCAGGTATGATTTGCTGATTAGGATGACAGTGAAAATAAGTGTCTGTATAGAAATATGTGAAGAATCTTTTAAATTTGCCATATAAACTTTACCAATATTCATGATACGTGTCTCTTTGCTAACTAACAATAACGATTGAAGTCATTATGCAAATGTAAATTCATTCTTTGCGAAAATTGTATAGTTAAAATTTCCAAGTTTGAAATGTTCCAACTATTGAACTTGTTTTCGATATTTGATTCAGCATAGAATTAGTAGTTCCTTACTACGTCATGCATTTGCTTCTGTTTCTTGTAGAACATTCACTTCTTGAAAAAATCTGCCAATGATATTTGCAATTTCATCTCATTATTTGAAGGTTTTGGATGAATTAGGGATCCAGATGAATGAAGAGCTATCAGCTTTACCCACAACACAAGGCACACTAACGCAAGCTGACCAAAAGCGGCAGCCTCAAACAGCACTATCAGATGCAGATGCTGATTTACAAGCTAGGTTAGAAAATCTACGTCGAGAATAATTTGAAATATATGTATATTGTATATCCATGTCATGTGTATGAGTATGACTTTAAAATTCATCTCAGCCATTATGAATATACTGAGTTAAAAACAGCTCTTGTCTTTGAGATATTGATAGTTGTGAAACTTTTAAGGTGTCTCACTGAGCAAAAATGTTTTGTTCTCATCAGTGATAATTTGTAATTCGAGATTAAGCGGAAAATTTGTGATCCATTTGTCTAACCATTCATTATTAGAAAAACGACTTTTTGATGTGACGTTATGTTTTGTAATCTAAAATCTGCCAAAAATAATAGCTTTTCCAAACTCATCATACAAAAGTTATTGAGCTCCTTGCCTTCATTCTCAAATGTTGTAGATTTTATTCTGTCACCCTCTGATCTAGTAAAAAGTTGCGAGAAAATAAAAACATAGTGCTGTCTGGGATAGATGTAATTTGTTTAAACACATGTTAACAGCAAAATTATATAACTTCCTACAGAGTACTAGGAATGAAATGTTTTTGTGTGGCAAAACAATACGCAACTTTCGACATTACAGTAATTTAGATTTTCGAGTCTTTCAATGTACACTAGATTCCAAAAGCTCCTAATAAAAAGTAATAAATTAGGTATTCAACAAGCCATAATAATCTAATGCAGTTTATTAACATGTATCCTCTCTAGGAAGAAAAAGTATGGCAAGCAAGAGTTTTTATTGAAGCGTTATCTCGGTAAAAAAGGTATATAATTATTATGGTATTTGATATTTGGTTCACGATCACTGAAAAATAAAATAATTCCAAAAGTCTTGCTGAGATGCAATGCAAGAAGTGGTTCTAACAAGCATTCTTATGAAATTAGACAAGGAGGTCAAGTAATACTTGGTACTCTCATTATCTAGGAAGCGTTACCACATTCATCTTGTAGCAGTAATTGCCGCTTTTCCTCGGTGGCTTGTAGCTGATCTTTTTGCACGCAACGTGGCAAATCACGACATATTATAGATATTCGACGACTTCGTGGGACTGGATAACCCATAAAGTAAGATTCTGCTTTCCCAAGTATTTCGTGATAAAATTCGTAACGACTGATTTCACTGAAAGCATTACTCAATTTTACAAGCAAGCAAAGGATTTAGCATAGTCTGTGCTTTTTGTAGTCCAAGTGGAGAAACAGGAAATATCCACAATTAAACAGAAATGAGTAGACGTACCCAATTCTATAGAGTGATCGCCGCTGCAGAAATAAGTCGAGAATGAGTTCTTGCGTCTGATTTTTATGCTTTAGACGCATTACAGCATCTGATAGCAAACAAACACCAGTAATGACATCACCACAGTACTGAAATAAGTAGTTAGTACGAATAAAAAAATAATGTAGTTCAGGAACAAATCTGAGACAGTTAGTAAATTTGCACCATCTCGGACATTGGAGTTGGGCGTGTTGTATGACCTTCCTAAAACAAGATAGGATCTAACCCGAACACTATCAATGTGAGGCTTGATAAAACCATCTTCGTGCAAATCAAGAATGTGAACAAATGAATGATGCTTTGCATCTTTTTCGAAAGACTGTTTCCGTATTCGATCTAAAATAACTTCATTTTCCTGTCGCCAATTCAGCTGCTCACGTTCACGATAAAGGTGAATAGCCTGAATATCTTTGTATATAGGGAATGCATAGTGGGTACTCATTAACATAATCCTGAGAAATTTCACCATTTATCAAATCCTGAGTGAGCAACATAATTTGATTTTTATAGAGAAGATAGTTTTCAGAAACACTGAAGAGATTCGAACTGCTCTACCAAGCTTTCATTGATAAGAAGATATTCATGGAAATGAACTTCGGCATAGAAATTTATGAACGCAACTATTCTCTAATTAATATGGTATAGTAAGTGAGACAAATACTAAAGCTGTCAAGAACTTGATACAAACTTTGGAAAAACATTTACAAAAAGGGCCATTTAGTAACAAAATGAAAATGTCGCATTACATCATCCCAATGTGATTTCTCGTAACGCATTCGTCTCATATGTGGATTGATTTCATTCAAAAGTGATGCTTCTTCCTGTTCGTTGATGAAACTCGGGAAAACTTTGCAACATTGTCTGATTACTTCTTTCAATTTTTTAGGCCATAACGGTTCGTTGTGAAAATGAATTAATTTTAAAGTTGTTGGTCGTAAGATCGTCACTTTCATCCAAGATGCTGATGTGATACCTATGTAAAATACAATCATTACAAAAGACTCTGTAAAAGATTTGTCTATGCAACAATTGGTAAATCGTTTCATTTCCAAAATGTAATATGACCATAAGCACTCATTATAATTGACCGAATTTATTTCCATCTCTACATAACCGACAGTAAACGAAAATTTACAGAGTTTATACGGATTGCACGAGTGATTCTGAAGTATGAGAAGCGATTAAGCTATCGAAACTATTTTAAAGCTCAATATCAATATTCAGATCAGATTGCGGAAATAATGTAGTAAGCTCAAGGGCCCACAAAAAATTGCTACAACACCATACCATTTCATTCAAAAATATAGTGGAAGTGTAAAAAACTTATACAAACAGGAAGCACGTTAATACAAACATTACTAGCAAAAGTTGAATCAATTCAAAGTAGTGGAATTTCATAAGGGGAAGATAATCACTATGAAAGAGAAGGCCATATCATACTCAGAAGGAGACCTCTTCCTTTCATAATTAATTATGCAAAAGACTGAAGCCTAATAACTAACTCATCGTGCTGCACTCCAGCAATGGAGAATCCTCGGGAATTTAATAATTTCTCGACAATTTTCAATGAAGTTAGGGAAATGATGAGTGTTGTTTCATGTGGAGATAATGACTATAAAGCAAAAACTGTATAGAATCCCATCCTCTCATCAATGTTTGCACTAATTTTTCGCAGAATAAAAAAGTCGAACACTGAGATGTTTGAATTTTCATAACGATATAAAACTTGATGAACCACTGTTTACTTTCATATGATGAGTCATGAAGTAACTGAAGAGGGTTAATAACTTTATTTTATAGAGAGTTCATTTTAATTCAAGACAAAAGTATCAATTTACCAAATAAATCAAAGAATTATCAGTGCGAAGAGCCGTTGACTACGACACACGCATACGATAAAGGACTAATTGAACATAACACAGCTAAGGTACTCAGCGCACCAAAGAAATATTTTGATCTCATTAACGTTTTTTGTGATTTCTCCCAAGCACAACGCTTGCTCAAAATTTCAAGCAAATAAATCCCATCCCGAAGTACTAATTATATTTCTCCATTAATGCAAAATCAACGTATACCAGATTATTCAAAACAATTGAAATGTATAGTTTAACAGCACACCCCACAACGCAAAACATTATGGTTCGAAATAATCACACAACTATAGGAAAGAAATCCTCTAACCAATTCTCATTCATTCGGAGAACACCATTACTGAGCTACAACCCCGAAATAATGCACATGAGAACATGTGCATTATTTCGGTCCTAACATTCAAGGAATCACTTAATACCGCTGGCAAACCTCAAACTTTAACATATCCCAAAAGTCTTTCTAAATAAATAATGATTTCGATCTCAACTTCTATTACATGAAACATCTACAAATTGTCAAACCATTATTTACATGCACCTCAATGCTGAACCTAAATAAACTTGAAACTTTCAGAAATTTAGACATCGAAGATAAATTGCAAGACGATCATAAGAACCAAAGCCAATATTATAAAACATAAATCACGAAAATAAGGTAAAATACTTCGCAATTTCATACCCTGATCACAATACCATTTATGAAGCTCTTCCTAACTCTTATTTCTTTATCCATTCATAACTAAAACATGTCAAACATCGGCAAATACTCTAACATAAAAGAGAAAAAATTTCTTTTCTAGGCCTCTGAACTGATAAGAACTACTTATGCTACAGCTTTCACTGATGCAGCAGGGTGGAACTGCCGATATTAATCTACAGAAACTACGATTGAGGTTGACATATTACATTTTCTTTGCTTATGAGGCGCAATACATTCTATAAAAATATTATAATAATAAAATATAAACGCGAACATAAGTTATCCAAGTAATGTTAATACAAGAAAATAAAATCTTACTTACCCCTAATGAAATATCAATAAATAGAGATTTGCTTATAACTACTACAAACATCACTTACATCTCTTCTAAAACAACTAAAAATGAAAAACGAAGCAAAAACTAATCATATTATATCTGAGCGGCGTGTTGCAAATATGGCTGAAAAGGTATTGAGACAATAGCATTAACTCATTTTCTAAGTTGCAATACTACAAAATCATATGCTACCATACCCACCATACTCTTGACATTTATTATAAACGACTGAAAAATAACCAGACTTCTGTAAATATGAGTACCATGCTATCACATCCAAAGAGAATATTTAATTTGTTAAATAAGAAAATGAAAAACGAATATTAAAAAAACTACTCAAGAATTTTATTCAGACGCAACCAAAATATTGAAATACACTCAAATACTACATGCTACTGAAATTGAAATCTAGCAAAAAGTAATTTTAAAAAACGCCGAATAGTCTAGTACACTAAAAAAATAATCCCGAAATTATTTCTGGTCCGTTCACTTCAATTCATGGGCTAATTGATACGATTAGCTTCACGCATGTGCTTTAAGTAATCAACCAAAGCATCTGCTGGTGGCCAAAATTGACTGAACTTATTACGCACTTTCACAAATTTTTCGTCGCTACCTCTGCCATCAACAATGAAACCTTGAAATTTAAGCCAGATTTATAACAATTTTATGATTAAAATGAATATTGGACGAAGCCCAGTAAAGAAAAATGAAATCATGCAATCTATTACCAAAACAAAAAGAAAGTTAAAAATAATATTACTGAATGTGCAAATTAGTGTCAAATGTCTGAAGTTTTGCATATTTTCAAATATTGACAAAAGTGACTTTAAAACAATAATTTATGCACAAAAAATACTTTTCGAACTTAAGGAAAGATAATCCGATATTGTGTGTATTATGAAGCGCTGCCAACGTGTTAAGACAGATGAAGACCACTCTAATACTGGTGGCACATTTTTACAGAAGAAACTTCTTAATTCATTTTCAAGTTCTGTCATAAACTCCTGGAAAACTACGTTCTCATTTGAAATAATGCAATCGTACAAAAACATGGACAACACAGGATACTAAACATGACCATGTTTTTTTTTAATAAAAAAATCTTGTTTTTTTCTTTTTACATGAAATTTAGAGAAATATAATTTCCTTTCAATTTGCAAAAGAAAATATACTTACCAACGGCAAATTTTTGTGCTTTAACATTATCCTTATACGCCGATTCAAACCAAAAAATGCAGTATTCGGCAAATAAGAATGAACTGAATTATCTGTCTGTTAGCAGATTTAACTTACAAGATTTTTTTTTGGCTTTTCTAATATTAAATTAATGGTATAATTAAAAGAAAGACTGTGCCATCATACTTCCATTTAAAAGACTAAGTGGTGGCAGCATGAAGAAGCTGAACAAGAAATCAAAACAAACTTTGACAAGGCCGATGTTCTAAAATTTTAGCTTCCAGAGTAGAATGATCATCACAGCTGCAGCATTGTTTATTTATTTCCTCCATTTTTACATTTTCCAGGTATTTCCGCTGATCCTCTTCATCTTTTTCAATAAAAGTATTCCAAGCCTAGCAAATAAATAATTGTTAAACTCCTACATATTGGAACTACATGAAAATGCACAAATCAGAAGCAAAATAAAATCCTCAGTAATCCGAGCTTTACCTCCATATTTTCCTTGTTGTCAAACAACTTTGATAAAGATGTTTCTGTTGTTTGCGCAATATCTGAGTAATCTTCGCAGATATCATTCTCATCCACAGACAGATACAAAAGCTGAGCTGCAATACAAACGTTTTTTTTGTAGATGATCTATAATCCTCATTTTTCAGAAACGGTGCTACTGCAAAACTAATTTCTTAAAAACCAAGCAATTGGCGGAAAAAGCAGCTAGAAATCATGGCACTTTTTTTTTCAAATCTAACACGAACACCAATATGCCTTATATCATCAGGAGAGCATAAATTATCAACCGTTTTCGTATCTTCGTAATTTTCGCGATCCCATCCTTTTACTTTTCATCATATTCATATCAATTTTCATTTCTTTGATGAATTTTTGAGTCTTTTTTGCCATGCGCTCTTCCTAACAACAACATATTTTTTTCAGATACATTTTGTCTCTTCAAATTAAATAAAAATTGTAATAAGATTTTCAGAACAGGTCTTATTTTTTAAAATTGATGATGTAGAAAGAAAAGTCAAACCCTAAAAATTTTAGTCTTACAGTTGACCACATACTTGATGTTTTCTTTGACGTCGTGTGCCTCTTCTAGTCATGATGTTAACGTTGTTTTCGAGAAAACAATTATTGTTATCATCATTCTCAGCTTCTACTTCACTTTCTTCTTCGTACTCCAACAAATAACTGAAAACTTTCATGTCCATAATTACCATACAACATAGAAGCTCATTCCTATTATTATCAAAAAAGAATAGCATAAGAAAAAAAACTGCTCACGCATCTAATGTGATTTCGTGGAACAATTGTAGTCGTGAGTTTTGTCGAATAACTCCCATGTTTACAAGGAAATGGATTCAAAAAAGTAACAGCTGAAAGGTAAAAATGACAATATGAATGGCACACAATTCTGTTGAACAAGGCTGAATAGATACAGCATCAAATTATGTAAAAATAACTTGGTAAATTAATTTCTTTTCTTTATCCTCTCACAGAAATGAAAACCGTAAACTTTTAAAGTAAGAAATGAAATTAAATCTTATATATCTTGTTTTTGTAAGTATTTCTGGATACTAAAAACATTAATGTAGGTAAAACTGCATTACGTGTTACATTTCTGATAGAGTTAATGCTATACACATATTTAGAAGTACTATAACCTTACACGTTTTTGATACAGTTCATGTTTTACAAATATTTAGAAGTACTGTTGTTCTAAACTATTTTGCCGTAGGTAACGACGAAAAAGTTTTTTAAACGTATAAAATAAATTAGGTGTAATATATCAAATCCACTTTTTTTTGCAATCATACATACATAACTACTATCAAATCATTACAAGAGTGTACAAAAATAATGAATCAATATCAACTTTTAGAATAATAACTACACTTCACGGAATTTTTATCTAAAGCAAGTAAGAATAGATAAAATTCTAGATGAAGTGATAAAATTGACAAATTTTTAGAAAAACGATGTAAAGAAAGTCCAAATACGATTGACATTTACAATTTCCACACACTGTACGTAAGCTGAAGAGAGATAAAGGAGGAATTAGTTAAACACAATAGAACTTCAGCATCAAATTGCATTATGGTAAGACTGTTATCAGTAAATGGTTGGCAGCTCTCACAAAATTAATACATTTTCTGCATTATCAAGAAATACTTAACAAACCTTGATAAAGATGGAGAAACTTCTTCATAGTGAAAATGAAAAAGTGAAGAGAAAAAAGACGCAAATGGAGAGTAAATTAAACAATACAGCAACTATGAATGACTGAATGATTCACGCAAAAGAATGATTCACAACTACATTGGACAAAATTACGACACGCAATGCAGCACACAGACGCGGTACACATCAATAAAAGCAATACGCAGCAAAAGTAAACACCACCAACATACATAACAAGACTGATCAATATTACACGTACCTATAAATCAATGCAGTAGCAAAAAACTTCAGCAAGAATAAAGTGAGAAATCCATTTTCACAATTCTCGAGTGTACTTGCAAAGCGTAAGGGAGTACAAACTGCAACAATTATCTCAGAATTTCTCTACCAATCAAAATTACAAGTATTATTTTGCAAAGTGATCTTAGTAATGATCATGCGTGGCGGACTGCATGCTTTTGTGCATCTATTGAAGGACTCGTGGACTCGTGCATTTCAAGAAATTGTTTTTAACAAGGTTAATCATATCAGTAGATCAAAGAAAGTGAATATTTAATCCAGGACAAAGTGCTGGTCACTGGTTCTTATTAACCTATCAGTTCTCTTTCTAATAATTTAATGATGTAGCAGATATTAAATTATTAAGGTTACATTCCGATCAGATTTAATTTCTTGTATAGTTGCAAGTATCTAGACGTATTTGCACGCTCAACATATTTGGTATAAGTGCTTGAATTCTTTCTTCAAGGTTTAAAAATTAAGCTACAACCGACCTAAAATAGATCACACAATTAAAGTTGCAATCTGCTGATGCAATCAGTAATTTATATCATTGAAAAATGGCAATTCAGAAGAAACTAATCAATAAAAGTAGCCATCTGCGTTAGGAAGAGTTATGAATCCATCAATTTACATACTGTAATTGCATGCAAAAGAAGAGTACTATAAATTAAAATAAAGATGATAGTTTAGTGTTCTTCGAGATTCTAAATTGTGAATGTAGCTGTATGTCCATAGTTGTTTTATTCAATTCATCGGCATTACGTACTTATTAATGGATTCATAATTCTTCCTTATAGGATAAATTATTTTCTGAAAGTGAATTTTGCAGATTTTAAATTAGTTACTTCTTAATTACATGATTAAGAAGTATTACACTCTTTTTTCTCAACAAGAATAGAATCATGCGAGCATTAAGTTTCGTACTCAGTTGGTTAATTGTTTTGTTATAAAGTCAGATCTCTTTTCGCAACATCTTGTTTTAAGAAGCATTGCCTATAGGAGTTAAAGATCAAAAGATTATAAGAGATTTGGTATTTTCGGCCGAAAATTTAATCAAAAATTTGGAAAGTGTAACGCATCTATCATTCTGTATGAGCATTACATATTGTTGTTTTAATGACTAATACAATTTGAGATCATTTTTTTACTTCCCTATTAATTTGTGGTTTCATTTTTCTCTAAAACTTTTCTTAGAGAAAAAATAAAATTGAAAATTATAAAAACGAAGAAAATTTGTTCTTCTGACTGATTATGAAAGTTATACTTTTGTATTTTGTCAATATTTAAAGTAATGCTTTTGAAATATTTTTTGGATTTAAATGCATTTTTAACTTCAGCAGCAATTCTCCTCGATTTTTTCCTTTGCTCAGTTCTTACAATATTTGACTGTGTCATATAACTTCAGAATGAAATTAATTTTCTTGCAATACGTCTTGATCATTTCTTAATTCTCAATTTCATTCCAGAGCAACATAAATAAGTGTGCATATTTTTCATTTCCTGCAAGTTTTATTGAAAAAATTCAAAATGTCGAATTGAAAACTGTATTATGAAGAGATCAGTGTTTAAGAGCGTAATCTTTATGGCATTTGATTGTACATCAAAGCTTAAAGATAAATTATTTCTTATTGCACATTTTGTCTACATCTGTGATGCTTGCTTTTTTATGAATTCATCATCATAAAAACACGTTATTTCCAATACAGAAAAAATGATATGAAATAAACAATATAAAGGTATTCAAAGTTGAATTTCAAAAATATTAAGCCTGTAAGTGTTTTAAAACTTTCTTTGCATAATTTTCTAATTTTGAAATTATAAAAAGCATTGCGCAAATAGATCTTAAGATTAAAAAATCTAAAAAATGGTGAAAAATTGATTGCACCCACTATTATTACTAAGCATAAATGCTTTTTAAATTGAATTTATCATGTCAATTTCCAATTAATTTAAAAAAAATAAAGACGATAGTTTTCTGGAAATATTTGATGAGAGCAGATTCATGAAAGTGACGTGAAATAAAGAGTAGAGTCTAACTGAAATTTTCTTTAGATTAAATGCAGTTGTATGTGTTAGCATTTATGAAGAGAGTCACAAATTAGGGATAAATTCATTGGGAAATTTACTCACTACTTACACTGCATATTGAAGGTGTCAAAACAATTTGTTAAAATTATCAAGCAGTAAGTTACCCAGTGCGTTGTGATGCTTACACTTGATAAGAATAAAAAATGTGCACAGCCTTGTTTAACCGATCTGATTACTAATATCTCTGCGAGCAATTCAGTTTCGTGATAGAGCAACAGAATAATTGTAAATACAGAAAAAAAAGCAGTTTATCAAGTTTCATGATTCTTTATTGTAAAAAAAAGATGATTTTTCCTATTTTCGAGTAAGACTTACTATGAGAAGTAATAACTTTCCTTCAGCCTACAGTTGTAAAAATTTTCTGAAGATTGGATGATTTTAGCATTATATTTTCGTAAAATTTTAAATTTATTCTGTTATAGTTTAATTTTTAGTTTAGATTATAACAATTTCGGAAATAATGCAAATGATGCAGCTATAAAATCTTGAATGATTTAGACAATGCACTAAAAAATGGTGAAAATATGTCAATCAAAGAAATACGATATATTTTTTCGGCAAGTTAACAAGTAATAATTATTTGACTGTGAATTATCTCTCCATAGTATAACTCACATAAATTTGATCTTAGTAGCTATTTTTAATATCTAAACTCCATTTTCATACTTATGTCTAGAAAAGCTGTTTGACAAATTGTAAAAAAGTAAGAAGCTTGTACAAAAATTGAAGATTGTGATCCAGTTCATAATTTTTCAAATTAATATATTATTTGTTAGTTACTTTCAAATGATAGCAGTATTAATCCCAAAGCAATTCAGATACTCAGCTTTCGTTACTTCATTCCTTGTCTACTCTACAGTTTTTCTATTTTTGCGTTTTCCCGTATCAAAAGTTATTACATTCAGATAATCTTTTCTATTTAGTCAACTACATATTTTAAAGATACAGCAGTATTCTTTTGTAAACTCTCCAATAACTTTAAATGCGATATTTTTATGATATGGATTAAATTAACAAAAGCAATTATTTTCATTTTAAGAAAACTCTTTCATTATTAAAACATCTTTGGGGGGTTAATAGATCTACCACTGCTGAAACTGGCGAATAATTTAATTTAAAAGATTTTGTTGGCTTAATTAATTGCAAAAGGTGAGTACCATCAATTTTTAACATTGTGAAGCTCAGTAACAATAAATATTTGCCAGTAATGTCAATAAAGTTAACAATATTGGCTTTTTATAAAATACATAATTTCTAAAGAAACACAAAGTGCTAATAAAGTATTTTTGAATAGCATAGAAAGCGTATATATATGCAAAAATGATGAAAAAGAATACGATATTAAGAGAATGAAATTAAAACAGTTATTTCAAATACTGGTCGCTTGAGTAAACAAGTCATTGGAGGTTCACTGTTTATGGAATTTCAATTTGTTTTGATCAAAAGTTGTCTGAAAGTGATATCTTAAAACTGAAATCAAAAACTCAGTATTTTTAATCCACTGTAGAGATTATAAAATGAGTTACGAGTAAGATAAATAAGTACCTTAAAACTTTGAAAAGTTAATTAGACTAGCATTTTATGTAGCATCTCTGGAAAACAATATTAATTTTAATTTTCGTTACGGAAAATCTTTATT